AGCACATCTCGCTTTTCAGAACGATGAGCTTTGTAAAAATCAACAAAGGCGGGGCATAGAGGAGAAACAATAATGCACAGTATGTGGAAAATAATGTGTTTTTTTAACTTTAAACTGCATAAACACATTTCATTACACCAAATACACAAAATAATGTTCTTTTTAGCAACATCATATGACCCCTTTAATCACCTATTGCCACGCATCATTTATGCCATACATAATCTCTCTAGAGCCACAAGAAAATGACATCACAACAACTCTGGCTTCTGATGACACCATATGAATGTACACTGTTCACAAAACCCTTCGACAGCAAAGACGGTGAGCTGTGACGTCAAAGTCAGCTGACAGGAAAACATGTAAGGGCATTTATAATTTCTCTTAGTTCTCTCTCACTCATTGTTGTACTATATTGCAACTTTTGAGGTAAAACTAGTCACTGGATTTGCCAAAAGGCATAAACTCTTTGAAAGATATGCAAAGTTTTGTCTGAGATATGTAAAGTAATGTTATGTGGATATCCACAAGCAAAACTGTATATTTTAGTATATTTTGAATCATTTATATAATGTATTATTAATGTTAGTTATTATTAATAAAATTAATATGAAATATTAATTAATAATAATTTATATTGTGACTTAATATACTAAATATTTTAAAAGGTCAGAGTCTGTAAGGTTTTTACATATTTTTGAAAGTAGACTTTTATGCTCAACAAGTCTGCATTTATTTGATCAAAAATACAGTAACAAAGTAATATTGTGAAATATTATTACAATTTAAAAGAACTATTAAGTTTTCTATTTGAATATATTTTAAAATGTAATTTATTCATGTATTGCAAAGCTCAATTTACAGCATCATTTGATCCTTCATGATCCTTAAATCACTCTAATATGCTGATTTTCTGCTCAAGAATCATTATTATTATTATTAATATTATTATTATTATTATCAGTTGAAAATAGTTGTGCTGCTTCATATTTCGGTGGAAACTATTATGCATTAATGAATAGAAAGTTCAAAATAACAGGATTTATTTGACCTGTATAGCATGATAAACATCTTTACTGTGACTTCTGATCAATTTAATGCATCCTTGCTGAATAAAAGTATCACTATCTTTGAAAAAAGAAATACATATATTGCATGTCAATCTGAAATCATACAATAAGTGGATGATCGTTGGCCAGAATTGGCTGCAAAATTGACCAGATGTACGATCGTCAAAGTAAGCGCCGTGAGAGAGAGAGAGGTCCTCTTGTCGCTCTTGTTTGACTGAGTTTGTTAGTTGGCTACATCATCTTGACATGTAATTACTGAAGCTCTCTTAATCACTGCAGTGCAGATTAATAACGGGGGGCTCCTATGGGGGTCACATCACCACATCAAACCCCTCTCTGCCTCCCTCTGAGTCACACACTTGATAAATACTGCACCCGATCATTACACATTCAAGGGCAATCTGCTCCGAATATTATATGCCAAAAATAAACGAAGTAGATTTAAACAGAAAACTGAGTGTGAATGCATAATACAAAAGCACAGTCATCAGATTCCAGGTATTTCTGCTTATCCAAATATACACCTCATATGCTCGCTTATGAACAGATAAATACAAATATAAATGCTAAAATGTAACAATATTAATTCAATTAAAAATTTATATAAATATGAATAATTATGAAGTCAGATGTTTAATAATAATAATAATAATTGCTGTTGTTGTTGTTCATTAAAGTTGAAAAATAAAAGGAATCCTATTGTTTGTAGCCCTGCATGGCTTCAGGAGTATTTTTCTGCGTGTCCTCCAAAAGAATGTGAACGAGAGAGAAACCGCAGACTTACCAGCATCTCTTTTCCTCTTTTCTCCATTGGAGCGAGGGATTCCCAGAATGCCGTTGATTGAGTAGGAGCCCACAGGGTCATTGGAGGAACTGGAGACTGGAGGAGATGCTGCACTGGGGACTATAAAGAGTGAAAGAGAGTGAGAGAGAGAAGGTAGATGATGTGTATAACATCACTTTAGAATCACTTATCTCTTGCATTTGATCTGTTTCCCAAAGATACTTTGGGGTTCAAAAGTCTGAGACCACTAGTGTTTTGGATTTTTCTACATTAATGCTCATTATTACAAATGACGCTATCAGCATAACAATTTAGATGTAAAAATGAACACAAACTCTCTTTTGCATGATAACAGCATGAACAAAAGCTGATGATCATATTCTCCAGCATGATTTGAGAGTATCTTAAGCTTCAATGAAAGCAAGAAAATCTGATCATCTGTCACATAATCAATGTTACTAATTTACCTGTATTTGATTAGTCACCTAAAATGTGCATAATCTTGTATAATTCTTCATTTTATGCCACTGAGTCTTAAAACATTTTCTTTTTTATCCCCTAGTTTACATTTCACTGTTGTCTCAGAATTTTCCCCTACACTTTACATGATTTGGATATGATTTAGCTCTGCTAAGTATTTATGCTGATGTGCAGAAAATGTCTAATATTACCTAATGCTGAGTTCAAAAATGTTAATACAACTTTCCATCTCATACAGCCTTTTCACAAAATAAGAATGAAGATTTTTCAAATTATATAAATTAATGCACTTATTACAATAACAAAAGCAATCAACTAAAAAAAAAAAAAAAAAAAAAAAAGAAGTATACAAAATGAAAAATTTAACTTACAATCTGCAAAGAAGTGGAAAAAAATGGATTAGGCACAAAATGCTTTTCAGAATACATATGAAAATGGGCCAAGAATGAAACAAATAGTTGTAATCTGGCTCAGAGGAAGACAGAAATAATTTTTATGGTTGTTTTTCTGATATTTATGGGATTATACAACTGACTTTGGCATCTTACAAAGCAAAAATGCTAAGAAATGCATCATATTTTGAAAAAGTGTGATGTGCTCAAGCAAAACAGACTCAGCCCCTCAAAATTAGTAAACAAAAAAAAAAGTATTGGATTTCATTCAGCAAATATGATGCAGGGCCATGAAACAAATTAAAAGATGATAAAAGTTTAGAGTGCATCTGTACTTTTAAACAAAACCGCTATGACATAGTAGGAAGGCATCTGATTGTGGTTTTTCTTCTGTCATCTGCTCCAGATGCAGGTAATATCCAGCTCTGAGCAGAACGCTTTGGCCCTTAATTTGATTTGGAGGGATGACCTTTTCCACAAAGGTCCAAAGATGGCCCCTGGAGTTAATGATGTGATCTTACCTATAGTGTGTCCTGGGGTGGAAAGAGACGTGCCATCTGGTGAGGGGTGAAACGGTTGCTGAACCTTCGTCCGAATGATCCTGCACAGTAAATACAGTACATTCACTCGCATGGAACTCCAGAGCCAATGCAGTGTGTCGCTCTATGTCCGTCTGTCTCTCTCTGATAATCTCAGATTTACTTTATATATCTCCGAGCAGACAGAACGGATAACCGCAGACGCTCAGATCCCGTTTAGCCGAGCGAGAAGCAGACTCGCTGTACCTTTAAAGTAAGATATAGCAAAAAGCTCTCTGAGCTCTTTTGCCTTGAGTGATCTTGCAAACAAAGCATGAAATCACAACAATTCACCTCGATAATCGTCCTCTGTGTGTGTGTGTGTGTGTGTGTGAGTTTCGGTCCTGAGGAGAGCCTCAGGCTGGGTTCTAGCGTGGATGAGGTTCTATTGATCTAGACTCTAGGATAAAAAGTTCGGAATTAGCCACATGGGTACCGGGATGCAAATAGAAAGCTATAAATTATATGTGACAGGAAAGCAATAGTTGCTCAGTGCGGTGTACAAGCTTACGCCAGCATTTGATTCTGTTAATCTGAACAGCACTTTGAAAAAAAAGGCCCTCTGTCACGCTCATTTGTAAACTTTAGATCTATTCATCACCAGCGGCATTGCTTCTGTTTCAGCAGACACGTGCAAACAAATGCACTGGAAGCGAAGAGTTTGTGCTGCATGCAAAAACCATGCTTTTTTGTATGTGACGTATTTTTCATTTCATGCCTCATGAAGATTATTGATTGTAAAAATATTTAGAATAGACCGCGGATACTATTCAAAGTGCAAATTTATTTCCATTAAAATGAGTGTGCTGCTAATATTGATATCTGCGGAAATAAACATCAGCTTTAGGGATGTATCCTCGGGGCATTGAAACAGAGAGTGGAAAGAACGTGCAGTGACAACATATCAATATTATATTTCATTTCTCTCTTTAAAACCATAGTTTGACCCCCTCGCATGGCCTGGGGAGAATAAATCCGCAGACTTTATCCACAATCTATGTTTCTGTTATTGAATAAGTCATTTGGAAGAGTGAATTAATGTCTGTGTTGTGTCTGAAAATCCTCGGAAGAAATATTAAAATTGCTTTACATGTGAATCAATAATATTGAGCGCCGTTGAGGAGGTTTTTATAAGTCTGGCGGTTTCGGTGCTGCCACTTGTTGGCTGTGGAGACACTTTAGTACAACAGAAACTCTGTAACACTTAATAATGTATGTTAAAGAAAAGTGTTGCGAGTCTGAACATCAACCTCATGTTGTCAACAGGCCCGGTCTCAGTTTGCACACACAACTAGAGCGTTTTTCTTTAATGCAACATTTTGCTTTAATGAATAAAGCACAAGATGTTGCAGGTGCAACTGATTCTCTTATTGTACACCCAAAACTGAATGCATCCGCAAACTCTTCTTTGCAAGTTGCAAGCTGACTTTTATCAGAATTCCCATATATCTTATATTAACAGATTCAGCTTGGTTTTGGCCTTATTCAATAATCCGTATCCATTGCTTCATGCGTAAGTATATCAACATACTGTTAACTATAAACAGACGTAAAGGTGGAATAAATTATAAGCTATTGCTAATACAGTCTTTAAAAAGGAGTCACTTTTGCCTGCATTCATATTTTAATTCCCATCATAAACAAAGACCTGTTTCCTGTTTCAAAATAGCCAGACTGAATTCAATTAGATTTTAGAGACGTTTAAGGGCTTGGGTAATAACATTAACGTACGTTTTATATTTATCTCCCAAGTTCATGTCAAAAGACGTTCAAATGGCCCTTTTTAGGTGACCATGAGGCATGAAATGAATTTTTTTCTAGCCTTCTCTTCTGTTGTGTGAGGCGCTCTATTCTTCACCATCGACTCATTAAAATGTAATGCAGAGTCTGGTTTTATGGAAGAGTGAATCTTAACCAAAGTTCAGCGCCTCACTGCTTCTTTTTACCGGTTTGATTTTCCACACAAGTCTAACACACCACCCTAAACCACCATTTTAAGGATGCAAATAGGATCCTACTGGATCATGGATTATGCATACTGCAGATTTCCCATATTTGTAGGCTAGGTGGTATATTATCGATAATCATTCCAGTTGGAACAAAAATAAAAATGTTAAAAGTAAAACCTTGTGAATTATTTTTAAAAAAATCACACTTTCATTATATTATTTCACAGCAGTATTTACACATTAAGAATGCATTTTCTAGACTATTCATTTCTACACAAATAAGCAATACTGTTAGTCTCTAATCTTGATTTTGTTAATTTAGGAAGCTGCAAATGATGAAATATGAAAACTCCAGTCTTATTTTTAATATAGATTATTTTAGCAAATAGAAGGAGCAGATAAATAGCGGTATAAACTCTAATCGAGCAGCTGTGTGTCTCTTTTACCAGGTCTGATCGCCGTTCATTGATCGGTTTTCACTCGCTCAGATGAGCTTTTAGAGCTTCAGTCCGTCATTGTTGCGGTAGTTTGAAGCAGGGGATTGAATTTCATCCACAAGACCACCGGCAGAGCCACAGAACAGAGCTTTACACTGCAACAATGGATAGCCTAATATTCACCAAAATGCATTATAATGAATTTCAGAACATTTTTACTTCAAAACAAGCGATTTTAAATACATGTATTGGAAATAATTTCCATTTTTGTCCCCTTTAACGAATGGTGTTCAGACGGTTCGATTGAAGTTTATACTGTTTTTTTTATTTTTTTTTATTAATGATTTGTAATTTTCTAATAAGTCGATGGGCGTCAAATGAATTAGTATTGCATTTAAATATAGGTACGTTTCAAATATTTGCGGTTTAATTCAATTTAAAGTTTTAAAAGCCACGATTAGAATTTAGTCAAGGTGCGCTTAACAAACGTTTGCGCTTTCATCTGAGCTGGTAACCATAGCAACCGTCCGCTTCTCGACCACATTCAGGTAAGATCAGTTATCGGGAAAAAACACAAACAGACTATTGTCAAATAACTTTATTGCAGATTTACACAGAGGCTAAGATTGTTAAAAAAAAACGTCTTGACGGGAGCCAGAAACGCCAAAGACGTTTTCTCTCGAAAATTACTGACACAAAAAGAAGACTGAATTATTGGCACATCAGTTATTGATAAATGACTGGGTTTCCTCACCTGTTTATGGAGGAGACGCTGGGGACGGTGTCGTTATCGCAGATGCCATCCGCCAGCAGCCTGTCCCGGATCTCCCAGGCGAACATGGTGGGATTCTGGCGTTTATAGTCCGCTATTTTATCCACCACCTTCGGCGTGGCCACTTTAGGTTTGGATCCTCCGATGACTCCAGGCTTTATGCTGCCAGTCTCATAATATCTGCAGAAACACGTGCAAATCTGATTTTCCTAACCTGACCAAACCTAATGACAATAAACAACAGATGCGTGCTAACAAAGCCATGAAAATGTTTTATCTAAGCTACTTAACACGGCCCATAGCAGCACTAGTAGGAAATTATCATATGATTAGAATACTAATTTAAAATTTTGCGCAGCAGGACATTAAACAGCCCATCTGTTTTAGTTACCCACTTATTAATCTAAGATGAAGAGAGAGAGAGAAAACATCTATTTGAAACGCAATTCTATACTGGGATGACCAAACTACAATAAGCTAAGCTAAAATCAATTTATGTTAGAAACATTTTTTGGATTAATAAATCAATTTATTATGAAATCCATTATTTATTATATTTAATAAAATGGAGAGGCAATGAATGAACAAGCTCATTAGCATTTCTACTTCTAGTTGTTGACCTTGTTGAAATAGCCCGAACTACCATATTAATTTTATTTGAATAATTCGTCATTTTAAAACATTCAAATCATTGGTCAAATAATAAATTTTTAAGCACGTATAGCCCCAGACCAAAATAATTTAATTGTCCCTTTTATCTAAAATAAAAGGCATTTAAAGCACTTTTGGAATTTTATAGTCTGAGATGGAAACCCGTTTATAATTAAAATCATGGATCTTTAGCTCAAGTGATTCATTTGGTTTAGTTGATTTCAAATTGGGTAACAATCAGGGGAAAACGCAAACGTGCATGATTCTCAATTCTGCGCTGTTAAAAAGAGCAAATGCTTTCATTTTATTTTCTTCGACAGTATGTTGGATAGTTCGTCTTGTGCTCAAACTAAAACTATTGCAGTACGTTGCTAATTCTATTAAAATTGGTATCCATCCCGTGTGTTTTGAGACTACGTTAATATTTCTACTTTTAAAATTTGATTGTAAGTTAGTGAAGGTTAAAAAAATGTGAAAAACGACACAAAGCACCTGGAACATATCAACTGCTGCGTTGCTCTTTAATGGGGCGTCTTGCACTAAGTAAATCTCATGTTAGGGTCTCACCTGCCCAGGATCTTGCTGACGCAGCCGTGACTGACCCTCAGCTGTCTGGAGATGTCACAGGGTCGGACCCCTTGATGCGCGAGCTCCACGATTCTCTGGCGCACGACGTCAGGTAAAGGCCTTCCGTTCACGAACATCCCGCCCACTTTCTGAACTGAGTAAATCTCATGTTGTAGGGTCTCACCTGCCCAGGATCTTGCTGACGCAGCCGTGACTGACCCTCAGCTGTCTGGAGATGTCACAGGGTCGGACCCCTTGATGCGCGAGCTCCACGATTCTCTGGCGCACGACGTCAGGTAAAGGCCTTCCGTTCACGAACATCCCGCCCAGCTGGTTCACTCCCCCGTGCCCTATACAGGAGACAACAGCAACAAACACCCACAACATAACATTACATACAGGCCGTCAGTGACGTGCGTCACATTCGCCCAATTAACAAAAGGCGCGTTCTGTGCGGCCACACGCGAGTTAGAAAACGCAAGAAAGGTTAACTGCAATCAACCGCACTTTGTGCTAATGAATCCCTGACTACTCACATCAAGTCACGGAATAAACAGACGAAAACGAATATATGCAATGATAAAATAATTCTGCATAACCGATCTGCATTATTTTGGTTTATAGATATGCACATACACACAGCAAAAACATGCACAAACATATACTATTATACGATATTATATTTTATTATATTAGTTCATTTACAATATTATTATTATTATTACTCCATTTTATTTTCTATAATAATGTTTTAAAACTTTGCAATATTATATGCAAATGCATTTATATTTATTATACAAAAAGAAATGCATATATAAATATATCTGTTTCTAAATATAAATATATGTTTTGTATATATCTCTAAATCCATTGTAGATGTAACACAGATGCGCAAATATAATGACTGTCAGTAGCATTTTTAAAGCGTTTCACAAATTCTCTACAGGGTCGAAAATTTTACATTTATTTTCCTCTAAATGTTTTCTAGTGATGTACATTAAACTCCTGTTCTTGTTGTTGAAACAATACTGGGGTTTGTTACTCGTAGGTGACCGATTAAATTACACGAGCATTTATTGTTTTCATTCCCTAGATATAAATTATTAAACAGTTTTGTTTGATCACGTTACATGTTGTTATTCTCAATTGATTGCTTTTCTAAAAAACATTCCATTTTAATTCAATTAAAAGCCCAAAGCTTGATGCAGAACCATTTAGCAATCTTATGTTATATTTTCAAATTTACAGTTTTTGCTTTGAAAAATCACGAATATTTACTGCTTTAAATCGAAGTGGAATTTTCCCAATATTATCAATATTTTGGTCTTTTTTAATTCATTGCATTCAAGTTCTTTTTTTGTAAATAAAAATGCAAAAAACGCATGTTTTAATTTCCACCACCAACCACACGCAGGCACATTTATCTCGATTATTAACCGAGTTCTTTAATGTTTCTGTTTTATATTGATTTATGTATTATCTTATTTCCCCTAAATGCAATATAAGAACAGTGTCATTTTTATTTTATTTTTATCCGGAAGCCTAATAATGTCCTGTTCCAGTTAGGATCTTAATTGGCTCAAACGTGAAAGACATTCTCCAGATAAACTCCAGTGTAACTCACGGTGCATGGAGGAGAAGGGGTCTGCCTTACAGTGAATATCCATCGGATAACAGAGAAAAGGCAGGTAATCAACTGAAGTCGCCGTCTCGTCTTTCTTACACACAGAACAAGTGAAAGAAACGAAGATGTAAGGTGAATCCAGCCGAGGAGAGGGGGACTTCGGAAAGTTGCAAATGGACGCAGGATTTGTCAGGTGTCAGACATGACCGTGCGTTCGAGGTCAGAACAAAGTGCTCTCAAAGCAATAAATGCTTAAATGTTTTCAGCACGCATGCTTTCCCCAGAACTCGTTTTCCAGCGTTTGTCCCATCCATCCGCGTGTTAGTATCTCTTATATCCCGGTGGTCTCGGTTAGCAGGTGCGGGGCTGCCGGGTTTGGGTTCTGCGCATGGAGGACAGATAGCAGAACCATTGGAGACTGCGGGTTTCCTGTGCCCAGCTTTCCCTCAATAACAACCCGATGCGTTCGCACGCGCGCAAGGCCCGGGACTGAAGGACTTGGGTCGCTCGTGTTGGTTTGTAAAAGCTCCAGCCCCCTCCTTTACGCGGACCCCTTTCGCCGCTATGGATGAGTGTATCAGACAAAGGCAGTAGATTCCAGCACTTTGTGATTCGCTCAGATGAAGCTCCATCCGCCTGTCACTCCAAAAGGGGAGGGAGAAACTCTGCGCCTCTGAGTGAATGAGAGTTTAGTGGAAATTGAGCGAGGATGAGATCAAATAATTTGCTTTTCTTTGTGATATAATAGTTTACGAGTTATGAGGAATTCTGTCAAATCAGAATTGCGCATTTTCTTTATATATATCGTTACAAAATTTGAGGCAAAAGAAAATATTACAGCTTTGAAATTGTTGTATTGTATTGTATTCTCTTCATTGCAAGGCAGCACTGTATTGTTACTGTATTAGTTCTAATTCTGTCGTACTTAATTTACAGTCTCAATTCAGGTTTTTTAGGTGTTAGGTAAAAGTAAATATTATATATTAATAAATATTATAGGCTATATTATTCCTATAAGAAATGCAAATGCAGCTGTTTTATCATAGGCTATAAATATCAGAATATTCTTTACATTTAAGTTCGATACTTCGGGGTTGGCCTCTTTCAGACACACCTGGACAAAAAAAACAAAAAAAAAGTACGTGTTCAGTGTTTGATGGTGTGCCTGTAATTTATAAGAGTGAATTTCCGTGCGACTTCCCTCAGAGATCTGCCATAAAAAACACTTTGCTTTATGAGAAAGCAAATATAATGAACGAATACCGAATTGCAGATTTGATGGGAGTCATTCTAAATTAAATAAAAATAATTACAAATTAAATAATTACAAATATTTAACTACAAAATGTGATTTCAAGATTTGCAAGGGTTTAAGTGGAATTTATGGAAAATTATCATTTTATTTAAAATATTAATGCACGCAATATTACCTCGTGCATTATTTAACAATGTTTTTTAGAATGTATTTTATGTTTGGTTATTTCATGGTGATATTTTATAAACAAAGAATGAAATACTCGCTGGCACTATAAAGACTGCAGAAAGCGGCAGTAAAGTGGAAATATTTTGGACGGATCTCTGAGGGACGCAGGGGGCAAGTCGGCTAGTCTGCCTCCTAGTTAGGTTAGAGGATGATTTTTCTTTCTCCTGGTGTTTTTGGAGGAGCTTCTGGTACAATATGTAGCACTGCGGGCTCTAATTTCACCCTCCGTTGCACACCTTCCCCAAAGCTAGGTTTTTTCTCTCTCTCTCTCTCTGTGAGACCCCCTCCCAGCCTTTCCCCCCTGCCCTTGTGCTCTCTGCGTTTTTTGCTCTTTTTTTGTAGACTTCTAAAATTAAGTGTTAGTGTTTTTGTCACCCTTGGAGAAATTTCACACTGAATTTGAGCAGACACTGTAAATCATAGCAGGACTTGGCGTTATGTGTTTGAGTCCGTCAGGGTTTCAGATAGGCTACACGAGGACGCCAGATTTATTAAAAGCATTCAAACAGCAATAAACTGAATCGCACATAACCATTAATGGATCTACTATAAATAAATTAAAACATAAAACTAATTAAAAAATATATTAATTAAATAAATAAAAAATATATATTTAACCGTTTAATGTCACTCTTACATAGCTATTTATAGTAACAGTAATATTAACACTATGGGTACAAATCCCACCTGAGGACGTGCAACTGAAAAACAAAAGTCTGCAAGCAATGCGAAGTAAAATGTAAAATCTTTAAAAAAACATTTTGGGACTTAATTTCATTAGGGCCTTGCTTCACTGACAGTGAGTAATCCATCTTCTCTCCGGCGCTGTTCAGAGTCTCTCCAAACACAGACGGGAACCACACACACACATCCCGAAGATGGATCTCTCCGTTCGTTCCGGCTCTCCTCTGTTCTGCTGAGCATTGAGGAAGCTCATTTAGCCAGAGGTGAAGATATTTCCTCGTTCTCATGGTAACGTCACTGATCGATCAGAGCAGCGTGCGCTTCATTAGCGAGCATCAGCAGAAGTGAGTCTGACTCCGAGCGACTCTGTTAAGCTATCAGCTATGGTTATGCATTTTATGGAATGGTTAAGAGTTCGTCTATTTTACAGCTGCTTTAAGTAGTTTAATTCGATTATTTCTGTCACGGTGAACTATTGTGAATATGTGCGTGCATATGAACGTCACACGGAAGTCAAACGTGTAGGAATGTTCATAAATATTTATTTATAAAATATTATCCTTATTAGATTAGATTTTTCGAATTTGTATTCCCTTCGTAATTATATATATTTTTTAAATTAATTTGATAAATTAATTATTTTATAAAATACTTTAGTGACAGTTATGGGCACATTAACGCCGCTTAATTTTTGAACTTTTAAACTTAAAGTGAAATTGCAACCTTTTAACTAACTAAACCCTAAAACGATTGGCGTAGAAAGACATAATGAAACCCTGAACTCAAAAGGAAAGTGTAAAGTAAAGGCATTTGGGCCCCGAGCTTGTGTTGTGAGGGGACAGATGGAGGCTTCACGCAAGAGATTGATTCTGCGCTCGCTTTTAATTTCGACATAATTAATTAGATCATTACAACAGTTTTCCATTGATCTTGCCATTTAGGCCCAAAATTAAAAGGTGAATCAGTTAGCTGTTAGATATATGTTGTCTATTAACAAAAGGCATATTAAGTAAATGGAAACACGCAGACACAATGCATATGTAATTCGCTGCTTCCCAGAGAAATGTGCACGCAGACAGCAGAGCTATATATAGGCATATATACTGAACATATTAGTGTGACAAAAATGCATTCATTCATTCATGTCCTAAATTGTTAAATGAAATTTATAATGTGACAACGCAATGAAACTTAAAAAAAATTACAAATTAAACAATTAAGGTAAATGTTTTTAAAGTATGTAAAAATGGAAAATAACAACAACAATAATAATGATAATAATAACAACAATATATTAATATTATATACCATAATATTTATTATTATTATTATTTCTGATCGCTAAAATCAGTCTGAAGTATATCATTTTGACATGAGGAGTGTCTGTGTTCAGCACGTGTTGTCTAAGTACATTCACAGGCCAATTAAAGTTACTGCCTCCCATGAAAAGCATCAAAAATTACGCCGAGAAATGAAAGTTCAATATTTAACTTTTACTGCTGTTCAGCCCACGTTTTAGATCATAAACCTGATTTCGCAGAAATATGCCTTTTAGAGGCCAGTCGTAAAACGCAATACGCTGAAAATATAAATTAGGAAACGAAATGAGAAATTCTTCACAGATGAAAAAACAGCAGGATGACGATCTTCCGTCTCTCGGTCCCTCCTTCTAGCTATCTTTTTATCTCTTTAATAACCAAAACCAAAGTAGCGAGGAATATATAATATAAAATAATATATTATAATATAATAAATATCATATAATATAATATATTTATGCATGTGCTTATTTTGTGACACAAAGGCAGAAAAAAGTCTTAAAATAACTCTTAAATAAAAATAAAAATAAAAATGAAGAAACACCTCAGGTCATGCTCTGCTTTATGGCTTTATTTTGCTCATCCTGAAGTGTCCCACAGGCTAATAATCAGGTTAATCTGTCTGATATTAAGCACACTAGGGAGGTAAAATCCAGCACGTGAGAGTCAGTGGTTCATACAATATGCAGATTTAGAAAGAATTCCTAAATGTGCCCTGAAGTGTTTAAATATAAATAGTGTTGAGGTTATGCCTGGCTTTTTCACTGCTGCTGTCAAGGGAAAATGGACAATTCTAAGTCCTTAAACTGTTCGTGCTTTACTGGTCAAACTTGTCTCTTATCTGAACTAAAAAAGTATTCTTGTCAAACGAGCAGATCTCAAATCAGACGTTAGATTAATCGACTCTGCGTTTTATTAGGCATTGATTATATAGTCACTAGCTAAAGATGTGAAGTTTGAAGATGGTGACAGACCAGTTTTCTCAGCGCATGCCCTAAAGCAGGTCCATAGTGCCTCTGTGTGTGTATGTGTGTGTGTGTGTGTGTGTGACACAGCTGCGCTTTTCTGAAGTGACAAAAAACAGCTTTTTTGCACCTTGGTGCAATATGGGAACCAGCCCGTCTGTCCAAGTCGGCCCTTGGGCATCATCTCTCATCCGTGTGGCCCGTGGCATCAGACACACTCTCTTCTAGAGCCTGTAGTTATGCTAATACTCTCATCATTTATCCAGACACAAACATTCCACTATTGTGTGAATAATTTGTAATTAAGTCTTTAAAAGGGGAACAGAAGAGTGTCCGCCTCTATCTGAGAGATTATGCTTTGACAGGTAAATAAATACATGTGTTTTTCTATGAGAATGAATAATTAGACTTTTGAAATATACTGTCTGTCTTTCTCCGTTTCTCATGTAGCTTCTTATATTTGCACACAACATGTGCTCTTTATAGGTAAGACAAGCAATTTTTGTTATGAGATATAATAAGAAATAAAATAATCATTATTTCTTCGATATTCAGTGTAGACTTCTGTTGAAGTTTCTAACTTCTCAGATTTTCTCTTAAATAAAAAGATGCCAGATTTTCTATTTCACTAATTGTTTTGTGTATTTTTTGTCATTTTTTTTTATTTTTTTATATGTCCATATAGTTTTATAATTTTTCTATTTCACTTTTAGTTTTTGTTATTTTACATCAAGTTAAACTAAATGAAAATGAGAAATGTTTCATTGGCAACTTGTTTTTAATAAGTTTAACTTTTTAAGTTTTTAAGGTTTTCTTTCAGTTAGTTTTTTTTATTACAAATATTTTTTTAAGTTTTAGTTTGTTAACTATAATAACCCTATAAGAAAAACACCTAAAATCATGTAATGTTTTTGAGTCTCTTCTGCGCAACAAGGCTGCATTTATTTGATCAAAAATACAAATATTGTTAAATATTATTACTATTTTAAATAAGTGATTTCTATTTGAATATATTTTAAAATTTAATTTATTCCAGTGATGCAAAGCTGAATTTTCAGTATCATTTCTCTAGTATTTTATAAATATCCCCAGGTATTTAATTCAAAGTAGGTTTAAAGTTGA